TATATATATATTTAGATATAACATCGATGCATATATATATGCGCTATCAGAATCTTCTGCAACCGTAGATTGTATACATCAAAGTTCAGAACCGTCCCTGGAGATTCATTCAAACTACTGATAGCGAGGTATGGTAGTGACACCAATCAATGTATACTCATGTATAACACGAGAACGTTTAACCATCCGCAGGCTACGGATTTAGATAGGGTTAACTATGAAGAGGGAAATCTAGTTGCTTGGATCCCTAATTATCCCAAGATCGACTCACTGCGGGTGAACAGGTATAAACAGTGATTCTCAGTTAGACAGTGATCAAAGTGAACTATCTATATCGTCTGGGACGAAACGTCTCCTACAGTAAACGATTTTATACGGACGTTTATTACAGCTTCAACACAGCTGACACAAATTGAAATATATTAAATGTGAAAAATATTAAACGCCCATTTTTTTCATTTCGATAAACGCGCAACATAAAAATCTTTTTAGACAAAATGACACCTATTATGCCAATTTCTCGGCTGATACATGACATTTAATAAAATTTGTTAATCTGGTTTTAATAATAAAGTTGTTAAATATTAATTTAAAAAATTTAAACATAAACAGCATTATATTTCCGCCTTCATTTCGTTGAGTTATTTCTATTCACCGTCTCTCCAATCTTTTCGCTCGACATGTATCCGTAGCTTTACTTTATACATTATCAATCACGTCACTTTCATGCAAGCGTATTGACTGTAGTCATTAATCTCATTTCAAACGTTTGCTAGTATCGATCGTAAGTAGCGATATCATGCATTCTCGATAGATTTAAATATGAAGAGAGAGGGAGAGAGGGAGAGAGGGAGAGAGAGAGAGAGAGAGAGAGAGAGAGAGAGAGGGGAGTGAAGTAATTTTACATAACTTTTTCCAACACGTTTTGTACGTTTTTATATATTAATTGAAATAATATTATATTATATATGGTGTTTATCCGTGCCTCTCGATATTTGGATGCTGCAGGTTTATAAAAATTACACGCGAGAAATATAAAACGCGGCATATCTGCGCGACGCATCTGCGCCAAATGTATATATCGTGCAAATTATATCGGTATCGACCCGGCGGTTTCAGCAGATTTTGAAGCACGCACGTGTGCCTATGCGGCAAAGTACCGCTGTATATCCACGAGTACCGTCCGGCGAATAAAAACGCGCTAATATTTAACGTCAATATCGTACGCACAGTTTAACGCGATGCGCAGTACAACGACGCTCGATTTGAAGTTGTAAATTCAATTTGTAGGCGAGACACGCGCGCGTATATTCTTTGAGATACGAGCAGTTCGTGCTTACAAGACATAATGAATTTCGTGTGGCCCGCGCCAACATTAGGCGCCCATAATCCCGCGTAAAAAGACGTCGTCGGCCCGACAGCACTTCGTGTTTCGAGTTGATGGTATTTTCATAATGGGGACCATCGTACGACACCGTATCCCACAACAAGTTACCGTCGATATATTTCGAGGATTTAATTATTTCTGGTATCTCCGTCGTTCGCTCATGGCATATTAATCGTATGCAAATCGAAGGTATTAATATGTCTACGCTAAATATAGGTACAGATTTATTAAAATATGATTCAGAAATTGATCATTTAAAAGAAATTGCTAAAGGGATAAAGTCAGGCGTAATTTCTTGACTAAACGCAATCGATTTTAAATCGCGTATACATAGATATATGCTACAAACGCGCGGATGCGCACAAAAAAATTCATACACTTATTAAATATTTACTCAGGTTTTATTATATTATTATTTAATATTAATCGTGATATTGTAATATTTCAACAAAAATATACAATACTAAAAAAAAAAAAATAAATAGGGTTTCTCGCAAATTGTGCAATATTGCATCGGTAAATAAAGATTCTATAAAGAGTTAATACGTAATTTCAATAAATGTCGGAGCTTTTATTTGAATTGTGCAGATTGCGTAAAGCAAAAACAAAGTACGTTCATTCGGCAACTCTTGACAATATCGCTTATCCGAAAAATCGTGATATTTCTCATCGAATCAATACACCGACACATTATTGCGCGCAATATGCGGATATGTGCGATACTGTAATATTCGAGACAGTATTATTGATAAAAACGAGCACCGCAATATCTCTGAGAATTCTCTGAGAAAACGTAAGACATTCTTTATGCCTCCTTCTATTGCTGGCTGTAATGTATATTATTGCGCTGTCTCCGTTTTTATTGCGTTACCTTCTGCCCCGTTGGCGGCAAGAACGCGCAGTTGTTAAACGGTCGTTACTTCGGCATCTCGATTCGATAAAAATATGTAAATATTGCAACATTCGAGACGGCTCCGCCGTGAAATTTTTCGCGGCGTTCGCCTTTCTGGCTCACTTAAGTACGCATATAAATACGCGAGTGAACTTATGAACTTATCATATCACGGCAGCACCGGCGTTCGTTATGCGACGGTAGTTTTACAAAAAAAAAGGCAATATGAATTGTTTCCTGAAGGAATGGGTCCACGAATAACAAAGTGAATGCTGAAGCGAATCTACATGGGCAAACCGATTTTCATCGCCGCGTGAATTGTTTGATCGGCGATACTTCGAAGCAGACTCTCTCGAGTAAACACGAATCTAGATTTCTCGTTGATTTATTGATAAATCGAAAATATTTGTTACCGCTGCAACGGTTCGCGTCATGTTGTATATGGAGTACGGAAAACATGAATGTTGAAAAGCGTCAATTACGTGCGACACGTGCGCCCTGTCACGTATGAATATGCTTTTTACGATCGGAAAGAAATATTTTGTCATTCACGCGACTAATTCCCACCCATTTCGTGCGTCGAACTAATCCTTGAAAAGTTAAATAAGAAGCTATACTCCTCTCACTTGAAATTTTTCAACGAAGCGCTAATTCTGCTGGTGGTTGAAATCGTTAACGAGTTCTCCCGGAACTAAATAACTGTAGTTACGCAAGTCAGACCTTCAGAGTTAACTTTGCTACGCGATTACAGCACTGGCGCTCCAACTGTATAATGTCGTAATTGTAACTAAGATACAGTTTAGATACTGCTTCCCTTCACGAAATAGTGTCTCAAAGTGTTATTTTTTCCCATTCACGCGATACATGTTTAAATAAACCCATTATAGTAATACAATCGTGATAGCAGTTATGATAATAACAATTATACGTTACATATTTCAGTAATGTATATTATGCAATTATATTATACTGTTTAATTATATTGCCAATTCAAAAGCAAAATTAGCATTTAGCTACTTACAGTTTTTCCGCGATGAGCAGGCTCGCCAGGTCACCAGGAATCTGCGTGAGTTCACGATGAGAACAATCCACCTCCTGTCCGCCGCACGTGCACGCCCAAGGACATCTAACGCCATTCAAATCGTCCATCGTACCCGTCATACTACCGAGGCCGAAGTTACCGATCCCGGTGCCATGCGAAGCACCGCCACCAAGCACGGATAATATCAACAAAAGTCCCCAGGCGCAAAGCACGGAACCGCAGCTGACGCCAAGCAGGCGCAGCGACCAGGCGGGTGTCATGGCACGCGCCATCGCCAAGACCTTGCGATTGATATCCTTCACGGCGCGATTCGGACCGTCGAGGAGCCTGGCAATACTGCCGACGCGGCTCTTGGGCAGAATATTGTCTGGATTGTGCAGATCGAAGCAGTGCGGTTCACCGCCGGCGAACTGACCACCAACGCCGACACCCGTGTAAACGTAACTGGGTCCGGCCGGTTCCAGATAGGAAGTTATCTCTTGGCCCTCCGCGGAAGGACAGCCGAGAATGCGAACTGGACGAAGTATTGGGTCTTGTTCTAATCGTACGATGGCGTTCGGATCGTGGAACCTCAGATGTCGATGTTCTGGTCTTTCCGTCGACTTTCCTCTGGGGCAGTCCCGCCGGCGATCATGAACACGACAGGGTCGACTTCGATTTACGTCTCTTCGACAGGGTGGCTCCGTGTGGGCTCGCGCTACGTGGCAGGACACTCTGTGCCGATGTGCCGCGCAGATTCTTCTCGCCGGTTGCTCGTCGTCGTTATCGTTATCGTCCTCGTCCAACGTCTTCCTCGAACGCTTTGAGCGCGCGTCGGAATTGTCGCCGGTCGATTGTAGCTCCAAGGCTGCGCCGTTGAATCCCTCCGGATGATGTTTGCAATGTATCAAGATCGAGACGTGATCGTCGATTGCCGACACTATGGGGCTTTGTGACTGCTTGATCTTGCTTCCGGTCCTTTCATTAAGCTCTATGCGTTCATTGGTGGGTCCCAGTCCGGTGTCCACTGCGGCCAGATCTGAACCAAAGACGGTACTAAGCTCCTGCGTCTCGGTTGGTCGGATGTATTCGCCCTCTTGCCGGTTAGGTCTTGATGGTTGCTCGTAGATTAGACCATCCAGCGGGCCCTTTCGGGGGCCGTTTCCGTGGCCCCCTTCCTCGTCACTCGCTGGCCCCTCCAACGAGTTGTTATCCACCACTAACGGCACCACCCGTTCCTGCGCATCCTTGGGTACAGCTCCCACTGACTTTATCTTGATGCTGGTCTTCGGCCAAGGCTCTACCGTACCCGAACGGGTACGTGACTCGTGCCGGGGAACGATTTTCTACCAATACCTCGCGGTATGTCGACAACCATTTACCGCTTCGAATAGCGCTGGTGGTATTACGCGTCAGATCGATTTCAGTCCGATGTGCTTTCACCAACAACTGGTTGGCCGATAAATACACGATGGAATTATGCGCTAGACGAGACAAGTATGCCAATATATCTTCAGCTCGCGGATAAAGAGTAATCAGTGAAATTGAAATGATTGTTTCTATACAGGCATTATTAACATCAAAGATTCGTTCGAACGTATCGACGAAATGGCCAAGAAGCTGGTACGGGGAAGAGGCATCACCTGTAACAAAGAATATATCATAATTAAAAATCTGTGTAAAAATACAATATATGGAGAAAAATTGAAGATTGAATCTTGTAGTCTTGTATAAATTAAAATAATTTATAGCTATATATAAATTGTTTTTATTTCTTTATATATTAAAATGTTATTTAACAGAAAGATGTTTATGATAATGATCTAACTTTTTAACTCCTACGCTACGACTTATATAAGTGACCAGCTATGATATCATTAGACGTTTCGCAGGTAGGCGGGTTCGCGAGACACGATACAAGTGTAGTATGCAAATAAAATAAGTGAATGTCTTGCGTTCAATCGTAATAAACGGGAAATAGTAGAAACTATATTCCTGATATACACAAATACAAAACGGAGAAAAAGTGTCCTTTGTGGGCGCACATGGTGCACCTCGTGCAGACCAAAGAAAGCGGAGATTCAAATGGCGTTCGCAGTTATAAAACGAAGAAACTCGCTGGTGCAATATCGGAAGTACGAGAAAAATATGCTACCGAAGCACAATCAAGGGGCTCAGATGCATTCCATGCACGGCCGCCAGAATTTCGAGGCATATTGGAATTTTTCTCTGACATTTCCCGAGGTTCTTGTGCTTTCCTTCTCTCAACCCCTCCGCTCCTTCTTCCTGCCGCCCGACCACACGCGGTTCTTATGCGAAGAAACGTGCCTCGAACACGCTTACGCGGTGTCCCATGTACACGTTTCTATCGTGTAAGTGCTTCTCTAGTGCGTTCCTGCGATTCATCTCTACCTGCGGACACCTGAAAATAGAATACGGCCGGGATTCTGTCGCGGGAGAGAGAAACGCTCCGATGTGGTGGTGCCACTATGAAGCTTTTAAAATTAGATCCCAGATATGCAGACGAAATGAAATCACTCGCTTGTAATAAACGTCTGCTGAGGGATACGATAGAAAAAGAAATTACGACCGGAAGTAAGGCCGTAGTGGCTACAATAAAGCGAACTTGAGAGTTTAGAATCGAATAAATTTAGAATGGGACTCCATAAATAAATATTGTAATTTACGATAAACATTTTAGAATATATTCTTCGCTGTTACTATAAATTATTATGAATAATGTGATGTGCTTTTATGTATATATGCAAATAACGTTGTTCATTAATTTCGAAGGTATAAAAGTGTAAGAAGAGAGCCTAGGCTAAGTGAGTATCGTATCAATATTCCCACACTACGAATTTATTGCAGTACGACATACCTTGTCATCTATTAATACGTCGACATCCTCCAGCGAAAGAGGAAAAGAAGTCTGCTACTGGCCCTCATTGTACATTAAAATTCGCGGAAAATCTAATATTCGCTTCGAGAACGCGGACAGGGATCGATAATTCGATTAGCAGTAGTCGCTACCGTCTACGATGGATGCTTCCACCTACCCTCTTCATCCCGTCTCACTCCTCTCCTCTCAATCATCCAACGTCGAGTACGGTTAAAGTAGCTGGCCTCGATAGGGTGTGTACACTACGCACGTATAATATTCTCGAGCACTTTCCTACAGATAATATCGCCCCCAAAAGCCTCTGATGTCGAAGTTAAGGTGGCAGGGGGAGGAGGGGGGAGGGGGAGGGGGAGGGGGTGGCGCCAACCCGGTTTGAATGCGACACAAGCAACGCGACCGCTCTTGATGGATAGACAGACGCAAAAGAGAAGAGAATTCCTTGTCCCTCCAACTCACGTTCTCGTCGGCCTTGCCCGTCGCGGCTGTGCCGCATTAATTAATGTTGTTAGCGCATATTAATTGAAGCAAAGTAGCGCGTCGATAAATGGGAGCCAGCAGGTTGAAATCTTTTTCTTGCGTCTCGTCGTACATATGCGCTCTCCAATGACTCGCAGATCGTGCAAAAGGTTGAAAGCAACGTCAACGAACGAGACGGCGAAAAATCAATTTACGCCTCTCCCCTCTTATACTTTACGGAAACTTAATTTATTCGCAATGTACGATGACTTAATTTAATCGCGATGATCGATAACTAACAATATTATGCTCATGAACGTGCAGCTGCGATATATTGCAACAGAGACTAACTAACTTTGTTTTATCTTCTAAAATAAGCGTATGACTGGATCTGTCAACGCGTTCGAATGCTCAACGTGATTATACTTCAAATGTTGTACTTGTAAATTGAGCACTTGTAACTCGCAAGTATAACATGATTTAAAATACGTTTAGTCATATGGGACACATCGAGAACGATGCCAAAGTATATGTAGTTGACAAACGGTCGTTTATTTGCGCAACGCATTAAAGCTTCTAAAAATCGTAGACATACGTTAGCCGAACGCGTACGTCCCTAGCGTTTAAAGGGAGGGGGATCAATATTGACAAAAGTTCGGGACTGTCGCGACCCTTCGAAATGTCTGCTCTTCGGATACCTCGCGGTGTAAAACGAGAAAATAAGGTATGAAGCATATGCTACATCCTGCAAAGAAATTCAACGGACAAACATAATAATCCTATATGGATAGAGTATACAATGTTATCCTTGCAAACAATTCGTCAAACAATGAACATTATATGTTACGAATGACTAAATTGATATTTAACCTTACGATAAATTTAAGTTGAAAATAATCACGTAGATATAATGTATATATCATATATAATATTATTTTCATATAGCATATATAATATTATGTTCTTTTCTTTATATGTAATATAGCAATTAATTGTAAGTATAAAATATACTTAATATAATTTGCATGCGTGAGTATTAAATTTACACCAGGTCTAATACCAGGTAAATTGTGAATACCAGAATGTAGAGTCAAATATGAATTAATAGTTTATTTTATTGATAGAGATAATATAGCATTAATTAATTCAAAACAATTAATTATATTTTTATGATATGTCTCCTTAATCTGACATCGATTTTTATTTATAAAATTATGGTAATGTAAAGATTGTCATATTTAAGTTAAAATATGCATTGAAGAATTAATAAAAATTTATGAATCAGAAAATTTCTACTTGAAAACGCATATTTTCTTTAAAGTAAGATTGCACTTATTTACCGTTCGGAACAGACCCGTTCTTTCCAGACCCTATGAAGTCTGTAGGTAAAAGTGCACCCAATTTCCATTGAAATCGAAATATCGTGCAGCACGATTGTATCGAAGACTAGCGTTTGTTCGGCAAGTATTTTCCGTTCAAGAAAGAAACGCGCACATTTTTTAACACGACATAGGTGCTCGCGTTGTCTGCGATACTTTGTATCATCGGCTTTACGAGATTTCGCGTAGAAATAGGGACAATATTACTTTGCCGCTTAGACATGACGAATGTATGATACGTACACGTCCATGAGAGTAGTAGCAAATCCCTTTGAGAAGAAAAAGGGGCCGAGCAAACCAGAAACGATTCAGAAAGAGCCAATACAACTGACTCCGGAATATTACGTTTCTATTGAAATATATTTGTAAGCCACTTCGGAAGACAATTTTGTCTGTAGGATATGGATGTAGACAGGTGGATAGAGATATTCCTGCAAGGCGGATCGTTATAGCACGCGGAGGGAAGTGACTATGGTGCTGGTAGCTATATAAAAGAAAGAGGGAGGAGAGCTCGTTTATTCTAGCTGTGCCTGTTTACGGCTAGGATTGCTTTTTCCATGAATATTATACATGAGATTCTAATCAAAACTTCATGTAACCAACTTCATGTAAACAAAATTATATTTCTCACAATTTTTAATTATATTTCATTACAATATTTTATAGAGCCTGAAATTGCATTATTATATATATATATATA